TAACATCAACTTATTTTCTTGCTGTTTCCATAGCATGGAATATTTATTATGTAAATCTATATTCACACAGACATATAACTGGACGAGTGCAGAAGGGATGCTGTGGAAAGAGAAAACTGAAGCGATCAACTGCAAGGAAGAAAAGGATGGGAGGAAACTGAGGTAAAGGAGGACAAAAAGGAATGAAGATGTTTGAAGGGAGAGAAATGAAGGGAAGAGAGAGGGGGAGATTAAAAGAAAAAGGGTGACTGTTTTTTCCTAAGCTAAGTTCTGAGCTAATGCGCAGCTTTAGTTACACCCACCCTGAGCCGGCAAATATAAGCAGCAGTGTGCACACATACAAAACGCCAGCCTCCTCTGCACTGGCACCGTAATCCCTTCTTCCCATTCACTTCTGCACACACGCTCTCAATGGGAGTGAGATACACTCTTTGTTGCTGTAACAGAAACCTGGCATGCTGAAGCCAAAGGCTGGTGGTGCGCCCTGTGTGTGTGGCCAAAACGAAGAGAGAAACGCAGAAAGGAAATGACACAGAAACATAAACTCAAAGAAAAACATGCAAAAGGACAAAAATACGAGTGTTCGCTTCAGTGCCAGTACGTTTAATCATAGCCAGAAGGCATGATGTAGAAATGTTAGGGTAAGCTCTGCTTTTAACCTCCCTGCCTGTCAGCGATTAGTCATGTGAGCTGATCTGCTAACTCAGAAAGAATGCTCGGCCAAAACAGACCAATCACGGGTCGGACCTGGAATTCGCACGTCTCTGTCCAGAATATGGTCAAAATGATGAAACTAAAAGAAATGTGCTCAGTTGAAAATTCACACCTGAATAGCACATTGCAGCGGGAGCTTTTATGTCCAGAGGTCTACACCGGTATGGTTACAGTTATGCATGCTTAATTTTGGCTACAAAAAAATTATAATTTTAAGGGGGAAATTACTGCCCCAAACACATAGAATTTGTTTCAATATATTTGAAGGATCAACAATACGTTTATTTTTGTTAATTTAAAAAAGAAAGAAAAAAAACTTTTTTAAATGAAATTTTTAATTGTTTGTTATTAAAAAAATTATGTTAGATACTAAGCTCAAAATTTGCAAAAAAAATCTTTATAGTTAAGCCTGTCAATATTTACCTTAAGTATACATAGGCATATACAATCACCTTCAATTTCTCATTAATGCAATTATCTAATCAACCAATCACTTGGCAGTTGCTTCAATGATTTTAAGGGTGTGGTCCTGGTCAAGACAATCTCCTGACTCCAAACTCCAAACTGAATCAGCTCACCAAAATTGGACAGTTGAAGACTGATGAGTCTCAATTTCAGTAGAGACATTCAGATGGCAGAGTCAGAATTTGTCATAAACAGAATGAGAACATGGATCCATTATGCCTAGTTGCCACTGTGCAGGCTGGTGGTGGTAGTTTAATGGTGTGGGAGATGTTTTCTTGGCAAACTTTAGGCCTCTTAGTGCCAATTGTGCATCGTTTAAATGCCACGGCCTACCCAAGCATTGTTTCTGGCCATGTCCATCCCTTTATGGCCACCATGTACCCATCCTCTGATGGCTACTTCCAGCAGGATAATGCACCATGTCACAATTGGTTTCTTGAACATGACAATTCACTGTAACAGTTCACTGTACTAAAATGCCCCCCACAGTCACCAGATCTCTACCAAATAGAGCATCTTTGGGGTGACGTGGAACAGGAGCTTCGTGTCTTGGATGTGCTTCCCACAAATCTCCATCAACTGCAAATCAACATGGGCCAACATTTCTAAAGAATGCTTTCAGCACCTTGTTGAATCAATGTCACATAGAAATTAAGGCAGTTCTGAAGGCAAAAGGGGGTAAAACACAGTATTAGTATGGTGTTCCTAATAATCCTTTATGAGTATATAGGGTAAAACAATGGTAAACATGAGGTTTTCATCAAGATTTTCTGAACGTTTTGGTCTTAAGCACCTGGCATTTTAAATTTTTAAAGGGCAAGTGTTTAAGACCAAAACGTTCAGAAAATCTTTTGGTTGTCCCTCATTCATGTATTTTTTAAAATCTATTTTCTGTATGGATTTATAATGTTTCTATTAAAAAAGTCATGTCACATAAGCAATACATAATAATAATAATAATTTACTTTTATAAAATATAAATATAATAATGATTATAAAACACAATCAAATAGAACTGTTGTTAAAAATATAACTTGCTTAAATTATTATTTTAGCAAATAAATATCATTTCAAAGTATAATTTCAAAGTCACTCCAACTTAGCTATATTTGTCATAAGTGGCTTTATATACAGTAGTTACTAATGAGCTAACAAACATTTATGTCTCCTTCATTGCACTTCGAGGTGTTTGAAAGATCAAGTAATTTAATATGTGCCCACACGTTGCTATTCTATCTTTTGACACGCATTACTGTTGAAGACCAATGAGAAAAGATTTTCTCAAACACCTTTGTACATTTTTTCTGTCTAAATATTTCTTTTCTGAAAAGTAAAATAATGAGATTACTCTCACTACGATGACTAAATAAAAAAAGATTAATTTACATTTTCCTCAAAAATGTATTTCATCTAATCTTAGCCTTTACTTGTGATGTTAAAGGGTTAGCTTACCCAAAAATGAAAATTAAGTCATTAATTACTCACCCCCATGCTGTTCCAACCCCGTAAGACCTTCGTTCATTTTCGGAACACAAATAAAGATATTTTTGATTGAATCTGAGAGCTGGATCAGTCCTACATAGAATGCCTAAGGGACTGGCTCTTGACGGCCCATAAAGTCATTTAAGAAAAGGTTTACATATTCCATGTGCCTACAGCGGCTCAATTATAAGTTTATCAAGCGACGATACTACTTTTTGTGCGAAAAAAACATAAATAACGACTTTATTCGACTATTCCATTACTTCCTTATGGGCGCATGCGCGAGAACTGAGACGAGGATGTTCTCCTTCGACTTGTTACCGGCTGCTTACCGCTTAGGAGTATAACCGCCACCTACCGTATAAGATGATGTGCTGATATAGCTGGAAGCGCAAAACTTTCTGTTTACAAGCAGAGGAAGATGCGCGCTGTACATACGCTTTTCAATTAGCGTATTTTCCGCACTATAAGGTGCACTTAAAAGCCAAAAGCCTTTAATCTTCTCAAAAACGACAGTGTTCCTTATAATCCGGTGCGCCTTATATATGGATCATCATTTTATACGGTAGGTGGCGGTAATACTCCTAAGCGGTGAGTAGCCGGTAACAAGTCGAAGGAGAACGTCCTCGTCTCAGTTCTCGCGCATGCGCCCATAAGGAAGCAATGGAATAGTCGAATAAAGTCGTTATTTATGTTTTTTTCGCACAAAAAGTATTCTCGTCGCTTGATAAACTTATAATTGAGCCGCTGTAGGCACATGGAATATTTAAACCTTTTCTTTAATGACTTTATGGGCCGTCAAGAGCCAGTCCCTTAGGCATTCTAGGACTGATTCAGCTCTCAGATTCAATCAAAAATATCTTTATTTGTGTTCCGAAGATGAACGAAGGTCTTACGGGGTTGGAACAGCATGGGGGTGAGTAATTAATGACTTAATTTTCATTTTTGGGTGAACTAACCCTTTAATTGGTTTGTTAATATCTTTTCTAACTAAAGGGGTGCACATCTGGGACATGCGGGTTTGTGCCAATCAAAGAGGATTTAGTGCTGTCAGTCATATATTTTATTAGATCTGACTAGTCAATACTAGCTGCTGGGCAAAATTAACATGGCTTTTAAACTAGATGGAATACCCCTTTAAGAATCAGAGAACATCAAAGGGTCAAATTCCTGTCAGCTTCATCCATTGAATCCCAGACCCTTTGACAGAAGTCCGTAGCTCAGGGAGGATTCTGGAATACTGAAGTGATTCCGGGCCCAGTTAAACCTTTTAGAACTCTGAAGAGGTTCTAGGACTGAGAGAAGATTCTGGAGTGAGGCAATGCAGTCTGGATGGGGCAGATACAGGCGGCCTGTTCTGCTTCTTCAGCTGCTGGAGCTGAGCTGCTGTCATAGCAACAGCAGCCGACATCACCAGCAGTCCCAGCATGGTCCTCGACACAGCCCCGGAGCACTCGCACACTACTGACTGCACAGAGAAAGAGAGGATGCTCACATACCAGCACTCACACACAAACACAATGCAACTAATATGTACACATACATGACCAAACATGAGTTTAAAACATGTATTAAAAATAAACAGACCAAATGTACACATGGAACCTGACATCAGAGGACAACTTACTTGACCACACAAATTACAAGCAGTAAAAAAAAAATATATATTTATATATATATATATATATATATATATATATATTACTGCTTGTGATGTATATAGCCTATATATATATATATATATATATATATATACATGTGATAGATCATGTATATAAAATATCAATCCATATTAGTGCTGACAGGTTCCGAGTTAATTACAATAATGTTACTTTGACAGCAGAGCACCCTGCTCAATTTACCTGAAATTATTCCATCATTTTATACTATAGCCTAATTTATTGAGCACATTGTGCATAGAGAAAAAAACACATTTGTTATTGTTTACTGGTAATTTCCCCCTGTACATTCCCTGTATCAAGTAAATGCTGGTAATTATAAATGAATTGGCATATTAAATTGAGAAGATCATCAGTGGGTAGGCAACTATAAAATTAAAAAATACCCCTAAATCACCACACTGCTCAAAAAATGAAGAAAAGTGTTACCAATTGGTATTGCTATCGTTGCTAATCATCATTTTACAAGAGAACAAAACATTTAAACCATATTAATTTATATGCCGCATATTTTATTCAGTATATTTAAATATTCGCTATAGGGACGTTTTTACTAACGTTGATTACTAGAAATATCAAGTCGGTGCTTTTCATCTTTTGTCTGAATTAGTAATTTGTTCTCTTTATTGCGACACTGCATACCCGCTTTGTAACCACTGCGTCCACGCGCTGCGCCGTGCTACTTCCTGAAAAAAAGATAGAAAGAAAACAGCCTACTACTTCGTTACGACTGCTTTTTATTTTATTGTGAGCAACGACAGACGTTTCTGTCACCAAACTACCATCAGCTATTCGATTTTGAAGATTATAAACGAGAAATGTCAAATTGGGACGGTGACTTCAGCAGTGCAAGCAAGCGCAGGTCCGATTCAAACAGGTGGAAAGAGTGGGACAGTACTAGCGCGTGACGGCGGCTCGTGAAGGCAGTATTAAAAACTTATGGCGTTTTTGTTTGAAACATCAGTATTGAAATAATTCGGTCAATTCGTTTTTGCTAAGCATTCTCACGCCAGTAGGCTATGACATCAACAGGCTTGTGCCACATCCCGTATTAGAACGCTCGCGCCGGTCGTTTAAAAAGTGGGCCGTTAAAGTCTGTTACGCCGAGCTCCTTTTATCCCTTCCTGGAGCCAGGACGGTTTGCGTATTTTTTACGTTTACGGTATCGACCCTCGGGGTTTTTCCCACTTATACTGGTCCTCGAGCCGTTTACGCACAGGTGGGAGATACCCGTTTGGTAGGACGGCCCCCTCTCTCACAGTTCCTCAGCGGATGATGTGAGCAAGTGACATTTGCCGTTGAGGTTTGGGACAGTAAGCGAGGCGTCTCTGCAAACAGGTGTGCGACTGCCCGAAACAGGCACACATAATACGACTTTTTTTCGCCTTGTTTAGCGGAGGCGGACCTCCAGCACCGGTGTCGAAGCGATCCATCCTCGTAGCGGGACAGGGAGAGGAGGGGGAGTCTATCGTTTTCAGGCGTTGTAGTTGCATTTGGTCGTTCGAATAGGGGCACGCGGCTCACAAAGAGGAAGGAATGGCAACTAAGAAACCATGCGCGGATTTAACAAAAAGGAGCCGAAGTCCCGTCGTGCTGGAGGCAGAGATGTTCAGCGAATTTCAGGACTGGTGTCTCCGGACTTACGGAGACTCGGGTAAAACAAAGACCGTCACGCGCCGAAAATACAACAAAATCATGCAGACCCTGCTACAGAACGAGGAGTCCGACGGTGTCTATGTCGACAACAGCCACATCAACGCCAAATTCAAATTCTGGGTGAAGTCCAAAGGCTTTCAGGTCGGCAGCAACATCTTGGGCGAGCACAACAAGAAAGAGGCATCGGGGAAGCCCGTCCTGTACGTTCCTGTCAAGTCTACGGTAAAATGTTTTTTTTTTCCCACTTGACAGTATGTGAGTGATTTGTGTCTGTGTGTATGTGATTGTGGGATTTCAACTCTCAATATGGGTCTGGCGATGCTTAGACCTTTCTCAATATGCTTCGGGACAGCGGTCGTTTGATTCCACCTACGCGCAACCCACATTGCTGTGCGCAACTTTTCAATCTTACACCTCGGGTTGACCGAACATATTCATCCCTCACCCTAACCGGGCAGAACAGCCTTACACTTGAGAGCTGGCTGCCATAGCAACGCCGGTCCCTCTAAGCATTAACGGCGCGGCGGTGTAGTGGTATCTGACGAATTGGCATGACGTTGTCCTGCTGACGGGATCGGGATGTCATAGCAATTCGCAACGTGGCCCGTTTTCAATCATGATATGAAATCATGATAATGTTGATTGAGACAACGTGATTTTACTCACTATGTTTTTTTGTCACTGGATGATTAACGTTAGATTCGAAGCGGCAGCGCGAGTGTGGTGAGTTCGTGTACCCAATTCTTGGGATGCCGGGGCGCAGATGGGCGCGAGAGTTTTCCCGAGGGGCTAACGACATGGTGGACGTTAAAACACAGCTATATTAAAGTAAATTAATCGGTATGTCCCGGTAAATCAGTGTTTGAGGGACTTCAGCTGCTCCCGTGGACTAGTTGAGTGTTTCGCGCATCATCCTTCTGGGCATCTGACACTCGCGCGCTCGCCGACCAATGTGTCATTTAGAGCTACATTTAACAAACATTAAACACTTAATAATAATAATAATAATAATAATAATAATAATAATAATAAAAACAGCGTACTTTGAGCAAGTATAAATAATATAAAATTCTCAACTATGTTACGATCGTGCCTCGTACATTTTTATTCTGGAGAGGGAGAGCACTTGCATTGTTCTGTGCCGGATGAGGGCGGAGCGGACGGTTGGCACCCGTTGCTCTGGTAACCTACCTGTTCTGCTCTACAATGCTCGCGTTTTTTCCACGCATCCCAGGACTATGACAGAATCCATCATTGGAAAGACAACCAGAGCAGAATTTCATTTAGAATCAATGTGATGCACCAGGAATGGACAAAAATTATGCACCCCAAGGATGAGCGAGTATGTGGCCGTTTATTTTTTTCTACAATGCATAACTGGCATTTGGTCACGAAGCTAATTTAAAGCCCCGGTCTGGACAATAATAGTTTTAATAATAGTTTAATTGACATAAATGGTTATCATGACCTAGAAGGGGGTTGTTGTTGTTTTTTTTTTTAAACCAGAATATACAAAATGACCACATTTAATGGCTACAGTAAAGGCTGAGATATACATGCAAGTGACTGTTTTCTTGAACACTAGGAGGTCCTCGACTACCACTGGTGCATTATGCCATTCAAAATGTCATGAACAGACACCATTTTGAGTATTGCCCTCAAGGGGTCCCACCAGCAGACCTTTGTCTGCCATCCAAGAGGGACTGACTCCCCAGAGACTGGCACACCTCAGCTTGAGAAAAATAAGTACTCAAATTAGGAACAATGGTGACAAGACTGTTTTTAATGAGTAATTTAATGGCTGTTCATATGTTTCACTATTCACATAAAATCCTAGATGTCTGACTGTGCAAATAAAAACACAACAAGGATCGGTAATCATAGAAATGGGAGCCACCAAGTGAGCCTTTCGATCACATTGTAAAAAAGAAATGAAAATAAATAATAATCATTCAACTTTTTTTTAAATAACCAAAGCTAAATTAACGCCGATTAATCCTCGTTAGCAGATAATTGCTATGCAACCATTTGACAGCTCCTAACAGGCAGCTCCCAGCGTGCTTTTAATTTATAAGACTGTATTAAGAAGAAATGAGGCAGAACTCTGAACATAGTAATGTCTCCCGCCACAGTTAACCCTTCACACAGATGTGTGGGTTTAACTAACAGTCCAGTGAGCCTGTGGCAATTACAGATCCTCTATCCATAAATTGCTCCTGTAATGGAATGAATGAGCAAGTCAGATGTGAAAGTGAAGTTCATGATTACACATATGAATTACTTGTTGAGAAATACGCCCCTCCCCCCAGAATACGCGCACATTTCTCCACCCACCACATTCTCTCTCTTACTCTGAGCTCCTTAATACCGTGTTTGTTTTACCCTTCATCAGTCATTCTGTCTCTCTTTGGAGCCTCTGTGCATCCTAATACAGCCTCATATACACTACATGATCTGTCAATCACATAGATGACAAGTTCTGTCATATGGAGGAGGTTATCTGGCCTATGGCTATATATATATATATATATATAAACACATGCACACATATGGCAATAGTAAATGTAAGTTAAAAAAATAGAAAAATGAAATTACATTCATTCGATTCGTTCAAATGGCTGATTCATTCAGGAATAAAGTAAAATATCTGTTCGACTTGAAGTGGCGCTGCGCAGACCAACTGGTTTATGACATCAAAGTACCACGAGAGGGATCGCTCTCACAAGTTGAACATACCTAATGGCTCTCTTTATAAATAGGCCATTAAATTATTGGGTCACATGATTGCTCAAAACACGGATTCATTCATAAACTAAACACTGCTGTGTGTTGTTCGGAGATGCACAGCAGTTCTGCTCTAACTTTTATATGTAATATTTTCATTGGAAAAATTGAGCAAGAACAGAAAATTGTGTAAAATATATTACAATATTAACTTATTATTTATTGAATATTGTATTGATAAGTCAAGATAACATTTGCAGTTGTGCTTTTTGGGATATAAACTGCACTTGTGTGTCATATTGCACTTGTTACTTGTATGACATTGCTATATCACACCACATAGGCCTATATATGTGTTACGAACTGCTCCGAGACACTAAGGTTGAGGATCCAAATGCAGTTTTATTGAAAGGGTAATCCACAATCGTAGTCGAAAACAGGCAAAGGTCATAAACACCTGTCAGTCTCAACAATAACAGGTGTTTATGACCTTTCCCTGCAGGGTCATAGGGGCACAGGTAAAAAAAAAAACAGGAGGAAACCAAGAGAAAAAAAACAGGAGAATGCTTGGAATTGCAGTGTAACACTATAAATAAGACTTTGCAAGGGAATGACAGAAAGAACCAGGCTTATATAGTGTGAGTCAACAAAATGAGACACAGTTGAATGTGTGATCATGGCTGTCATCCATTAGTCTTGGTAAAGGATTATGGGGAATGGAGTCTGTGGATGTGTGGTGATTCTACCCTCTGATAGTTATTCCAGTTACTCTCACTGGTGATCGTTACAGTATGAGACGAAAATTCATACAGGGGCATTTTTGCCCTGATATCTTGAATTTTAGGGGCATTCTAACTACATCACGCAGTGAGTTGTTGCCCTGCATCATGTTCGTCTCCAATCGACTATATGAAATGTAAGATGAACTAGCCTATGTATAGGCAGGGCAGGGTGGGCGCATTAAATGTGTTAAATTGTGTTAATGAGCTATTTTTCCATAACTAATTAATGAATGGATTAAATCGTCAGCCCTAATATTTATATATTAATTATGAAACATGGGCAGTGAATTCAAGCAACTTGGCAACTTGGGTCATTTCATACCCACCCTGCCATTCTCTTGACCGATAAGCATGCCACAATGTGTCCAAGCTCAAGGAAGAGTTCACATCAGCATTATTATCTCATTAAGGACTGGGACAGTAGGGGATGCTTCCCAACCTGCTCTATGTACACAAATTACACAACAAACAAACAAAGAAGAACAAACAAAACAGAGCAGAATAATAAGAGGAACAGAGGCAATGGGGACCTTTTTACAGTAATAAGATATTACTGAGAGAGAAAGTGGCACAATAACTCTGTGCTTCCATTTAGCAATGTAATAGTTTTCATCGTGTAAAAGTTTGCCTTTTAAATACAGCAGGTTGAAAAGAGTATATTTTGATCTAGAACTGACATGGCCGTTGAGGTATATTTGGTTAATTCAGTTCAACTTTTATTTCCTGCTTCTAAGAGACAGTGAGTGTATGGGATACAACACTGATGTTTATCAGTCACACTCTCTCAGTCTTTTCTCTTTATCATCAGCAATGAACACAAAATTGACTTCACCCAGCGTGTTGAAGCAGCATCCCCCATGTGAGCAGTGTCTTCCCTTTTACCTCCCCCTGGGTGGCAGGGCTGCAGGGTGCCATGTTGTGGGTTGCAGCCCCAGTGCAGTGTGGGATGCAGAAGAGTGGCGGAGGGCCTCTCTGATGCAGCTACACCATGGGTGTGCCAAGTTTCAGTGTGTGGGGGCGAGAAAAAAGAAGTGGGACCTGATAGAGCAGGGGATTTTTATCCTGTGTGGTTTTAGGAGAGTTACACTATCACTGTGGTCAAGGAGAGAGAGAAAGAGACGCGAAAAAGCCACCAATAACATATAAGTGGAGCGGCCCGTGCAAATCTTTCAGCGCACATATCATTCATAAAGCTATTAAATATGTATCTGTTGTGTCACAGGCCCACTGTAGACTTTGTTTCATGAGAGTGGTGCTCAATTCAGCTGCAGGGCATCACAAGCTCGCTCTGCTCTCTGTCTGTCAAACTCTTTCTCTATGTTGCTTTAATATTCTCTCTCTCCCTCTCTCTCTTGATGTCTCTCTGCTCTTTCTCTTTGTTGCTCTCTTTCTGGTGAGGGGGAGTAACTTCATTTATCACCTGTTATGTCCTGTGGCTAACATTGGGAGCAAAAACACACTCACATGCAGTAAAACACGCAATATCATATTTAGTTGCAACCACAGATTCACAGGTGCTCAGAATGAAAGATTTTAGGTTACTCAATCAGGTTTTTGCTTTTGTGACAGTAGATTCACTTATGATGTCACCAAATATTTCTATTTTCTTTGTGAACACGAGACTTTTTTTAAAGAAGTTTTCTTCTTTATTAAAAATAAAATACTAAATTTGCTAAAATTAATTTAAATTGCAATAATAATCAGTGGTTATTGAGG